AATTTTTATTTTTTTAATGTAAATTAATTACAAAAAATATATATTTATTATATTTTTATTTTGTGAGACAGGTAAGGGTTAGATAAATACATTAACAAAAGAAAAAAGATTAATTACTAAGGAAAAAACCACACCCCCGAAAATAAAAGGTAAAATACTAATGCTTGCTTTCTTACAACAATCCTTCTTCCAATAGCTATTCTTAAAGGTTGAATATAAGCACTCTAAAATTCAGATGTCAAGAAAGAGAGCACACAATACAATATATACATCTTTTGAGATTAATATTTATTAGTTAGATTTACTAAAAAATTAGACAAAAAATTTCAAACAACATCTTTTCTACAAAGAATTACACACAAAAGAAAAAGATTAAAACAGTCTCATTCATTCATAGTTTAAAAATTAGGATATTTTATTTTTTTACAATAAAAATTTATTAAAATGACATAATTTTAAATTATTTTTTGTTTAATTTTTTATAGGTTTGATTAATAAACATTTTTCTTCAAATCTTTTACCTAAATTATAAAAAAAAAAAAAAGCACACACACAATATATAAATCAATATTATGTTATGACAGAAAAAAAAATAATGTTTTTTTTTTGGTGCAGTTATTGTTGCGTTTTGCGTGGATATCGTTCGGTTATGGATCTTATGGCATGGAGCAATAGCTATTCTTGGAATTCCAGGTTTCATCATATTTTCGGTCTTTAAATGGAAGAGAAGGCATTTATCTATGCATAATTGTATTGAAGAATTCTTGCAAAGCAACAATAACCTCATGCCTGGAAGGTATTCTTACTCAAAAATCAAGAAAATAACCAATGGTTTTAAAGAGAAATTGGGTGAAGGAGGTTTTGGTCAAGTTTACAAAGCAAAACTTCAAAGTGGTCACCTTGCAGCAATAAAGATGTTGGGCAAATCAAAAGCTACAGGGCAAGATTTTTTCAATGAAGTTGCTACCATTGGAAGAATTCACCATGTCAATGTGGTACAAATGTTTGGCTTTTGTGCTGAAGAATCAAAACATGCCCTTGTGTATGACTTCATGCCTAATGGTTCCCTTGATAAACATATTTTCTCTGCAGAAGGCAATATTGCAACTTTGGGTTGGGAAAATCTATACAAGATATCTCTAGGAGTGGCTCGTGAAATTGAGTATTTACACCGAGGTTGTGATATGCAAATCTTGCATTTTGATATCAAGCCTCACAACATTCTTTTAGATGAGAATTTCATTCCAATAATCTCTGATTTTGGTCTTGCAAAGTTATACCCAGCCAAAGGTAACACAGTGTTATTGATTGCAGCAAGAGGAACTCTAGGATATATGGCACCTGAGTTGCTTTACAAAAACTTAGGAAGTGTTTCTTACAAAGTTGATGTGTATAGTTACAAGATGTTATTGATGGAAATGGCTAGCAGAAGAAAGAATGTGAGCCCATTTGCAGAGCATTCGAGTCAGATCTACTTTCCTTCATGGGCATCAGAGCAATTGAACAAAGGAATAGATCTAGAAATAAGAGAAGCCACTGAAGATCAAAAAAGAATTGCAAAGAAAATGATTATTGTAGCCTTGTGGTGCATACAGATGAAGCCAATTGATCGCCCTTCAATGAACAAAGTCATAGAGATGCTTGAAGCAGAACTCGAGAGCTTACAAATGCCTCCCACCCCTTTCCAGCTTTATCCCCATGCAACACAATGGGATGATGTTACAGAGAAAACCTACCTCAGAGAATCTACTAGTTTTTCTTCATGCAATGACACAGAGATTGAGTCAATTACTTTACTTGGAAATGAAAATTAAGTGGGGTGGTAGTGAAGAAGCTTATATTTGTATTAGATTAGCTTCCTTTACAGCATAACCAAGAAAATGATTTTTGTCTTGTACTAGCATGTTTGGCAACCTGATAGATATGTATATTTTGAAGTGAATGAACTAGTTCTAATTATTTTGCCTATAAAATCTATTGAAGGATTCACTAGAGTTAATTTTTATTTTTCAAAACTTAATTAAACTTTAGTTTAAATCATGTATATGGAGTTCATTTCCTCTTCATTTTAGTCTCTATAGAAGTTGATATTCTAAAGATCTAGTTAAGCTCCTAGCAAAGAAGCCAACATAACCATGACTTCTGAAAATTTTGGAGTAGAAAAAAATCAGTTGTAGGGTTGCACCAGTTTCATTTCCCTCAAGAAGATGTGATGGCCAATATTCCTGAACTTGCCAACAAAATGAAACCAGGGCATTAATTGGTGATGTACACAATTGACTTTGAAAATTCTCATGTAGAAAAAATCAGTTGTGGGGTTGCATCAATTTCATTCCTTTTAGTAGGACAATAACCGACTACGGTACTTGATGTTTCTGAACTTGCCAAGAAATTGAAACCCAGTCATTATTTGGTGAAGCACATTTACG